TCCCCTCCCCCGCCCATGCCTCCCCATGCTTCTTCCCACACTGGGTCTGTCTGGAAGCTCCCTGTCTGTTCACCACCCTCAGCAGGCTCCAGTGCAGAGCTGAGAGCTGATGTGTGTGCAGAGCAAACCACCACTCTTCCTTAGTGTTCTATGAAGAACACACGCATCTGCTCTGAGTGTGACAGAACTCACAGGGTCTCAGGAGGTCTGAGTGTTGGGCTGAGGTTCCACTCACAGCTGTCTCTTTTCAGCTCTGACAGCTTAAGTTCACTTAGCTTGGAAATGGAGAAAGAGAAACACTCATCTCGCTTAATGTGGAGATAAACAACCTGCAAAACTCAACAGTGTCTGGCACACAGTGAGTGCTCTATAGAAAGATCATTTAATAAAACTCAATGAAAATGCTCACACGCTGTGGGTGGAAATGTACAATAGTATAATTACAATCACTGTGAAAATGATTTGGTGGTACATACAAAAACTCAATCCATTCACAGATTATGACCCAACAATTCTGTTCTTAGATAGGTTCCCAGATAAATATTCTCTCAAAAGCATAGGTGGTAGTCACCTATGAACATACAGCAGACTCACATATAGAAACGTGTCCACAATTTAACCTCAGGCCAATGCTATCATTAATTATTAATGTTTAACATTGTATTATTGCCTTGAGATAGTCCAACATTGTATTATTGCCTTGAGAGAGTCAAAGAATAAGCAAGTTGTTATTTCATACCAACACATGGTTTTCCCTACTGTGAACAACCCGAGAGGGATTTCCGTGTTCTGTGTTCTCTTACGATTTTCCCATTGGCCCCTGTCCTACTGTCTTTTGATCTGTCCTCCAACTCTGGCCAGAACAACTGCATTGTGCAAGAAAAGTTTAATTTTATCCTCTAACATGTTAAATGACATATTAGATTAGAGAGAGAAATGGTAGATTGAGACCAGATTACAATGAAGACATGTTCACTTGAAAAACAAGCTAATTTGTCCCTGAAAGTCATTTACTAATTTCAAACTAAAATTTATTTACCAGAAGATTTTCAGTTCTGCTCCTGTTTCAATTCCAAGAGTCTAGGTAATGAGATTATTCCATAATGGGATTATAGAACTCAGGGGACAAAAGATGCCTTTTGATCTGACCACATCATCAAGTCACGTTGAGATGGGATCAACACCGAAGAAACGCTTGGCAGATGTGAAACAACCCAAGGACACTGTATCTTCCTTTGTTCAGGCCCGTGGGGGGAAAAGGCAGAGTATCCTTTCCCATAGAGTCTTATAGAAACTGCACCCCATAGGGCAGTACTGTACAATTTCTCTCAATGGTACTTTACTGGGTATTGTAATTGTAAATATTCACAAAGACCCTTTGATACCATTATAGAAAATGATGAAAACAGAAATAAGGACAAAACATGGAAGTGTCTAAATGAAAACACCCTGGAGACCTTCTGAGAACTAAGAAATATATGTTCAGAATTCTAAATAAAACCTGGTTGGTTTAGCGTCCACTTTGTGACACAGACCTATGCTGGCTCCTGATGCTTCCCAGCTGACTTAGGGCTGCCATTTTGGATGAGGTTAAGTGAAGAACATCTGACCCCAGTCACAGAACATTGAAAAGGAGCCTAGGGAAGCACCCCCAGGAGAAGCCTTTCTGGGGCTTGCAGAGGGCTCTGCCCACAGTCCCCACCAAGGTTACCAGAGAGTGGACTGTCACTGCATGGCCGTTTTCCACTTAGTTTCCCTGAAGCTGAGTGAGAGCAGTGTCCCTTGGATCCTGACTCCATGGATACCAACATCTAGCAACGCACAGGTTCCTCCTGTAAAAGGCAAGCTATACACATGCTCACATGTAGTTTAGTCATCTCTGTTACTTAGAGTATCTAAAGCAATGTAAATGATATGCAGATAGCAGAATGGTATCATTTTAGTGAATAAAAAATACATATACTCAATACAGAGGCAACTGTTTGTCGTTATATTTTATCCCTGTTTGGCAAATCTGTGGGTAAGAGGTCCTCAGATATGGAAATCTCACTGTGTATAAGTTATTTCTTTAATAGTTCTCGCATCTGATAGGGTCAGTGCCATACGTAATGACACAAAAACTGTCTCTTATGCTTTAGAGCCTGAATCTTCCCGGATGCATCTGATTCAACAAAGAAATGATGACAGTTTGAGAGTTTTTTTGGGGGAGGGCATGGAGTTAACCACAGCATATTTTCTAGTTTTTGACTTAATCCGAAATTTAAAGAGGAAAAATTCTAAGTTACCAAGTATCAATTCATATGCTGTTACAAGTCACCAGATCTTGTGAGATCTCAAGGGAAGTCTGAATTCTCCACAATATCTCAGAACAAAATTAACTAATCATCTTAAGAATAACAATTAGTAAAGCCTTCAGAATATAAGGAACTGCTCTCAGAACTTTGTGTGATCTGAGTCATATTTTAAGTCTCTAAATGTCCCAGGAGGTTAAGAGCTATTCCGATTTGTCTTGCAAAGGAGGAAATCAAGAAAAGATTGGCGATCATGAACACCACACAGCTGAAAACAAGTCCCTGGCTTTGGAATGCAGCCAGCCTGTCCCCAGAGCACAGGCTCTGTTGCTTCCGGGGACATCCCTCTGCACAGTGAGCGCCGTCAGTCCTTCTTCTCCTGGGGAGTGCTGGATAGAAAGAAAGTACCTACTGGCTGCTCAGTACCTGATGTCTCCAGTCCAGTGCTTCATCGCTCTGTGTTTCTCACCACAGTTCCCAAGTGGCAGGAATTTCATGGATCACTACACCACTCTGATCTCCTTGTTTATTTATGTTTTTATAACAACTTTATCAAGACAGAATTTATAAATACATAATTCACGTATTTAAAATGTACAATTTGGTGGCTTTTGTACCATCACAGAGTTGTACAGCCATTACCACCCTCAGTTCTAGAACATTTCCAACCAACCAGTAAAGAAACTCTACACCTGTCCCCTGCTGCTTGGCTCCCTGCTGCCTGACAAGCACTGGCATTTATATCTTTGTAATTTTTTTTATCATCAGCATTTCATATAAATTGAATCATACAGCATGTGATCTTTTGTGTCCACCTTCTCACTTAATACGATGTTTTCAAACTTCATCCGTATTATGTCATGTCTCAGCACTTTGCTCCTCCTATGGCTTTCTAAACATTCCATTGTCTGAATCTACTGCATTTTATTCACACATACATCATGTGATGGACATATTTCCTCTCTATTCAGGATATTGTGAATAATGCTGCCATGAACATCTATGTACAGGTTTTTGTGTTTTAATTTCTCATATGTATATACACAGTAGTGTAGTTGCTGTGCTTCTGTTTAACATTGTGAGGGCTTGCCACACTACTTTGCTATTTGCTTGTTTTTTAAACAATTTATTTTATTTTTATTTATGTGAATGTGTGTCAGTACGCACACATATGTCTATGTGTATCAGTATGCACACATATGTTCAGGTGCCCAAGGAGGTGGCAGAGTGGATCAGCTCTCCTGAAACTGGAGCTAAGAGATGGTTGTAAGTTGCCCTCATGGGTGCTGGAGGCTAAACTCAGGTCCTCTGCAAGGACAGCAAGTATTTCTAACCTCTGAGTCATACCTCTAACCTCTGGTTTTTTCACTTGTTGATAGTAAGATGTTTCCTGCCTGCAATGAAAACAAAATGGTTCTGCTTCTTAATAGGAGCACCTTGACCTTAGCAAAGACACCAGATGTTGTCTTCAATAGTCAACATCTGGTTGGATATGCACCATGACTTTCCATATTAGAAACCTAGTGGAATGCTTGCAGTAACTGTCATTAAGGCTTTTAATGAATCCATGAAGCAAATTTAATGAACGATGCTAACAGCAACAGGTTATAGCTGTTATCACTGCAGCTCTTCTAAGCGGCCTATGAAGTAAAACATTATTCAGTTTCAGAACTCCTGAAAGGTGGTAGAGTTTCTCTAGATTAATTATAGAATTCCAGAGGCTAAAGTTTTAAAAACTCTAAGACTGATAGCCATGATTATGTCTGTGTTGTTACCTGGGTAGAGCTAGGAAGAAAAGGTTTAGTTCGAACAAAAAAACGACAAAACAAAACAAACAAACAGAAAACACTAACTAAAACAACAAAAACTTCCCTAAGTAGAAAACCATTCAGAAGAAACTGAGGTGGATCAAAGATGTCCCCACTGGGGGAGCCACCAGGAAGAAGGAAATAGGTCAGGCTATGTTATTTTTCCTGGCTCTGTGTACTTATGATACTATTGTTTACATTTTCTGCGGGTACACAGAATTTGTTGGCAGATAAAGCATGATACGGGCTAGTAAATATTAACAGAAAAGAGAAATGAGGAACTGTTCTAACACACCATTTTTATTGGGTTTCCTTAAAAAGGTCCCCTGTTGCACAGAGCCCAGCTGTTGGTGAGCATGGAAGGGAATTTGAATGCTTGTCTACCACCTACTTCAGAGACCAGTGCGGGGCACAGGGAACAACCCAACCAAGACACAGGCCCGGTGCTGCGTGTTGTTAGTGATGCTTCAAAACATAAAGAGGAACATTTATACTCATCATAATAAATGATGGCCATTGTTTTTAAAGGATAATTATAATTTGTATGGTAATGACCTTTCTTAATGAAATAATTGTGTGTGTGTGTGCGTGCGCACGAATGCAGTCTTTTTCCTATAAATAGAAACCAAACTGATCAATTTGCTTTAGTATAGTAGGCTAAAAAAAGAATGCTCAACCAAAGGGTGTGTTATATGATTCTGAGTAAGGTGGCTTACTTTCTTACTTGGATTAAAGTTGTGAAAGAATAATTAGGAAAACAATGGAATTGTTATTATTTTCAAGGAACCCTCCTGACTGAAGGCCGGGAAGAGTGTCCCAGGCTATCTGCCTAGCCCCTCATGTCCAGTCATCAGTTGCTCACAATGGTCTTCATCCCTGTGGAGAGACTAACCCTGTGGATTTAGCAACCAACCCAGGAGCTGGATTTTACCACACTGACCACGTCTTCCTTCTCTGTGTCATACTTGAACGTTTTGGGTCCTGAAAAGAAGTAAATGTAGCCTAGAAGAGATAAAGTTGAAACTGTGGTTACCGGAGATGACGTGTGGGTCCCTAAGGGGTAAGGTTGCCGCTTTCTGAGGTGCTACCAATGAGGAACTGGGGGCTGTCAGAAGGCAGCGAGCTTGTCTTCTGCACAGCTCTGGCAACCTGTCACCTCTGACTTCTCAGGTCATCCCTCACCCTGTCCTTTGCATCAGTAGGGTAAGGTCTTCACTTTGGGTCATGCGATAAGGTGCCCTCATCATGCTTCATGATTTTTCTAGTCCTTTCTCCTTTTTATAGCTGTCAAATGTCTGGCTGGCCTTCAGAACCAGCTAATGTCTCATCAGGATAGAGCCAACTGCCCCATTTGGCCCTGTTGTCTCAGATCAATGACTTCTTGAAGTCACTGTGAAGCCTATTAACACCAGTCAATACTAGAGCACAGACTGTCTTGTCTCCCAGTAGTTTCATCTGTGTTAGATAGATAGGCATTTCCCAAGGATGCTCAACATTCCATAAGAACAGAGGCCACATTTGGAATATCCTTTGCACTTCTGAACACTGTCTGTCTCCGTGCTACACACTAAGAAGGAATTAAATTGATTTCATTTGTGTATAACACTCACTTCATATGACCTCCTTAGCTGTGTCAGATTTCAGGAGTCGGGTGATGAAAAGGTAGAAGAATCTGGGAAGGCTCAGACTACAACCACTGGACTGAAGCTGCATTGTGTTAGTGTTTGTTTGTTTTTGAGAAAGATTCTCACTCTGTAGCCCAGGCTGATCTCAAACTCTTCATCTACGGGCTTCAGCCTCTTGAACGCTGGGATTATGGGTCGGAGCTGCACTTCCTGCGTGTTCATTGAGAAAGGTCTCAAACATCCCAGGCTGTCCTTAGACTGGCTATGTAGCTGAGGATGACTTTGAACTTCCCTTTCCCAAGTGCTTGGGATTACAAACCACATGTCTAGTTTATGTTGCGCTGGGAATTGATCCCAGGGCTGTGCATAATAGCTGGGTCAGGGTCAGGGTCAGGGTCAGGGTCAGCTCCATTCCCAACTTAAAGCTATAATTTTAAACATATCTGCTAGTAAAAGGAGAGCCACCATTTTGTTTTTATTTACTTACTTTTTTAATAGAGGATTTAAAAAAATAATTCCTCTTTCTAGTATGTAACCTGGCTATTTAAGTTTATGAAATGACTTAGGACCGAAATAAGAACCAGTGACTCCCACTGAAACCCATTTTCTATCAAGTTCAAGCAGGGCCCAGATTTCCTGTTGTGATTTCCCAGGGAACGTTTCCTGTGGAGACACTCACCATTTAATTCCACAGCGGCATCTACCTGGCCACTCACTCCTGAAAATTCTTCTTCAGTGTTCTTTGGATAGTCTTTTTCCATTTTCTTTTTTCTTTCATCATAGCTGGAGGAAATATTTCACAAATGTTACTGTTGAATATAGGGGACATCAAGGTGGTCAGGAGTATAATTAGCCAGCTCTGATTTTGAACATATTTGAAATCTCTCTTTGTCTCTTGTCTCTCTTAAATGAACAAATGAATGTGTGAATGATCAGTACATCAGAACTGAGCAAATCTGTAATAACAGCCTTCAAGTCTTAAAAAATGGCTTTTGTTGCATTTGTTCTTCGACAGTTTCAAAATGCACATTTTACATTCTGGGTACTAGGACCCTGCACCTTCTCTCATTCTTCCCATGCTTTCAAGCTACCCCACCTTGCAGAACCGAGGTGGATTCTAGGGGATAGGCAGTCATTGTCCTTAGCTGTGTACCCACTGAAGAGCCCAAAAGGACAGCTCCGCATGATTGTCACATATGAGCCTTTTATCTTTGAAATCAGGTCACTTGGATCCCACTGCTCTTTCCTGGAAAGAGATTAGGATTCCAGCTCTGAAACCGGTCAGCATGTCTCTTTGCTGTAAGAGGCTGTGAGTCAGCGGTACTGTATGAGCTCAGCACAGTTGGAGATGACTCCTCAGCAAGACTCCATCTAAAAGATGAGAAAGTCCCTTCCTTAGGAGCACAGAGCTGGAGCTGGGGCATTCCCATGTGCACACTTCACCAGTCGGTCATTTTCCCCCTGGGCTATCGGGTAGTTTCCTATAGCAGATTATGCCCACCATCCCCTGAAATGTGCCTCTGCCTCATAGGGCAGAGGAAAACAGCTACCGAGATCTGAGGAGAAACGAAGCCTTCACAAAGAAGTGTTCAGGCTGGTGGAACTGAGGCATGCTGATCTCTAGAGTGCTATGGGCAGGGGAGAAGATAACGCTCCCCACATATCAACAGATCGACTATGATGTACTAGTATTCCACTGAGACCTTTGATGTAGACATAAGACCAGGGCTCTGTGTCACTGACACAAAGTTATCTGCTTTTTGTTTTTGCTGAGTAAGAACGTAATCATCAAGTTTCTGGTTACTGCTTATTTCCATCATCCATCATCGTTTCACAAAGAAGGAAGCTAGCTATCACTAAGAAAGGCAGAAAGGATGTAAGCTGGCAATAGAAGATGGTCCTTGCCAGTGACCTTCCCAGTGCTGACATGCTCCCCCTTTATGACACGGTGCTATTCTTAATTTGTTGTGAAAACTTGGTGATGGTCTTGCCCTTTGTGGACAGATATTTGGGGATTTCAGCGACAGAGCAGAGAGCATCATATCTACAGGTAAATGGCTTTGGGTTTGGCCTTCAATTTTTTATCTACCCAAGGTGTAATGGAGGGAATATGAGAATACACTCTGAGCTGTAAGCCTTCATTTGGAAAAGAGCTGCCATGAGAACAAGACAACTCACACACATACTACACTCCCTTTGCCATTCTCCACAGCCTCAGGTAGGAGCCAAGACAAGCTCCAGTCCTAGACACTGTGCTTTATTTTGATCCCAAGAACATTGACTCTGGCTTTTTAGTATGAGGTCTAGCAGACTCTATAATTTGATCTGAGATAGTGTACACTTCCTGCCACATGATAAGCCATCAAAATGACTGTTAGTTGATACAGAAAATATTTTTGTTGATAATCTGATATGTGCTATGATATGTTAAAATTGCTGCTTTATTTTCTCATTTCTAAAGTCTTGTCTATGACACCTGATACCAAATTACAAATAATTCTCTGTAAGTATGATCATTTCATTCATGAACATTTGCCCCATCATTTAATGTGGATTAAAGGATACAGCCTCGAATTGTTGCCAGTGACTTAGTGATATCACAGTGCAGAGATATTCTATGTAGATTTTCAGGTGCACCTTCCTCTCCACATTTGTAGTTGAAGACTAATGTTGGCAAGGGCCTGCACTTTTGTTTAACTGAACATAACACTGTACTTACAATGTAGGTTTGTCAAGCACCTCTGTTGGCATGGCTTTGTTCTTCTGAGACAAGGTCTTCCCAGGCTGGCCTTGAACTGGTCATGTAGCAGAGCTCCTCATCCTCCTGCTTCCGTCTGCCCAGTACTGAGGCATGTGTGACAACATTCCACTATTTCTTGTATGTGTACAGCCAGCTTTTGTATACTTCAGTATACTCTTCCGAGAGTCACATGTAGTGTCCATACTTACTTCAGTTTTATGGCCACATAATACTCAATTGAATGAATTTATCACATTTTATCTACCAATTCAACACTTAAAGGTAATTTGGATTGTTTCTATGATTTGATCATTACAAATGTTGCCATAGATACTTGTATACAGCTTTCATTTCTTTTAGGAACATGCCTGTGAGTGTAATTTGAATCTGATGTAGTTCTATTGACCTTTCTCTGGTATGGAAGATAGTCTTCCATTGTGGCCCCATTAACTCTCCATCTCATCAGTACTTGTATGAAGGTCCTGACTCACCTACATTCCCAACAATACTTGAAAGGATTTGGCTTTTTGATTAGAGTTTCTAATAATATGAAGTGACATCTTGTGGTTTGGTTCATATTTATCCAATGACATTGATGCCAGCCATCTGTCCATGTGTTACTTGGACATTTGAACATATTTTTTTGAGAAATGTCTAGTTAGATCCTTTTGTCATATTTTAACTGGATTGTGTGCCTTTCTAGTAATTGAGCTATATGACACAAGTCATTTGTCAGGTCTGACTTACATTTTCCACTCCCTATGCTTTATCACACTTTCTTGTAGTGTCCTTTGAGCAGAAAACTTCTTAATTTAATAAGGTCCAATTGGTCTGATTTCCTTGTGTGTGTGAGTGTGAGTGTGTGTGTGTGTGTGTGTGTGTGAGTGTGAGTGTGTGTGTGTGTGTGTGTGTGTGTGTGTGTGTGTGTGTGTGTGTGTTTATATCTAAGCACACAGTGTCAAATCCAAAGTAAGGAAGCTTATATTTTTCTCTAAAGGTTTTTCTCATTATTTAACCACTTTTGACTTAATTTTATTCACGCTGTGAAGAGTCCAGTCCCATGCTTTTGTGTGTGGCTTTTCACTTGCACCAGTGGAGTTTGTGATACGTATTGCCACCCCACTGAATGTCCTCAGCAGCTTGTGAGCCAACTTACCATAGACATATGGGTCAAATTCTAGACTTCAAATTTTATTCCACTGATGTATGTATATGTCTGTCCTTATGATGGTCACACTTCTCTGTTTGCTGCTCCTTTGTAGTGAGTCTTGAAATCAGGAAGAATGGACTGTGTATATATAAATTTTCCTCATTCCTTCTTCTTCCCCCAATGTTTGAGCCATTTGAGGGCCCATGAATTTCCATGTGAAGTTGAAGTTCATCCTGTCACTTTCTACAAAGCAGCAAGTGATACTCTGATATTGTGTTCAAGCTGCAGATTGGTTTGGGAAGTACTGGTGTCTTCAAATTACAAAGGCTTGCAGCCCACAGACAGGCAGCACATTTCCATGTGGAGCTCATGTGTAATTTCTTTCATTGAGAGTTCAGTTTTTAGACATCATGTCTTTCAATTTCTTTTTAGTTTACTTTTTTAAATATTTTAGTCTCTTTGATGCTATATTACGTAGTCATTTATTTTATTTTCATCCTTTCAGACTTGTTGAGTGCATTTGTTAGTTCGAATAGTTTTGAGTCTTAATTACGTCTTTCTATGGAAAGATTAAATCATGCACAAGGAGAAACAGTTTGACTTTCTCGTCTAGACGGCTTCCACGTCACTTGTTCTCGCCCCACTGCCCTGCTTGGCACTTCCTGGAAACACTGAGGGAGTGGAGAGTGGGGTTTCTGTTTCGCCCCTGATCTTAGTGGGGACAGTCATCAGTCATCACCGCTGAGTCCCATGCCAGCTGTGATTCTCTTCTCCATTCAGGAAGTTTCTCTCTAGTCTATTCTATTTCTATGACTGCCACATTTTCTTTTTATCATAAAACGGTGCTGGGTTTTACCAAACATCTTTTCTGCATCCAGGAAGACAATCCCATGGTTTTTCTTACTCTATCAGCACAAAATGTGACACTATTTGATTTCTAGATATTAATATATTCTTACATTCCCATAAAATCCCTTCTTCATCTGTGTATATAATTATTTTAAATACTTCCTGGATTCCTAGACAGTAATTTTGGAGCACTTTTGGATTCATATTTACGAATAAATTTCTTTATTTCCTCATAACAATTTTGCCCAGTTTGGGCGTCAAGGACTTGCTGGCTCATACAGCCTGCCGGGTGTTGCTCTCGTCTAAGTTTGTGAAAATTTGGTATTAATTCTTCTTTAAATGTTTTAGTAGAAATCACTGGTCAATAAACCCTCCCAGAGAATTTCTAATGTTGTAAAATTATTTGTTCAGTATTATTTCAATTTGAAATATTTAGCATAAATTTTTTTTATAAGAATTTGTAATATTGTTCTCTTTAAAGATTTATTTTATCTTAATAAGCATATGTGTGTGTATCTGAGTACATGAATGTGTATGCATGCATATGAGTGCTCACAGGTACCAAGGAACATTTTTAAGGAACAGTTGATGACCACAAAAACTGTCAGTTGTTTTTATAAGGTTAAAGGAACTTGGTTAGACACAGGCACTGACAGGTGACCGAATGCACACCATCTGCACAGATCCTGTGTGGCAGCAACCATCAGACATGGCTAGCGGTCCTTAAGATGCAGTGGCAAGTGTGGGCAAAGGGGGCAGGGCACAGGAGGTGTTAAACCGAGGAACAGGACGGAGGATGCAGAGTTATCAGGAATTCTAAAATAGGGACATGTTTTTGCTTTCAGCTAAATGTCTTCTTATTTAAATAAAATACTAGTTGGGCATGATGGCACATGCTTGCAATTCTAGCACTCAGGAGGCTGAGGCAGGAGGATTGCTGAGTGAGGTTAATGTGATCTGCATAGAGAGATATGTCTAAAAAAATCCACCTCCTATAAACAAAAAACAAAATACTGTGTCCGTAGCCTCTTATCAGAAAATAAA